CCCGGACATTTTAACCTTGTTACCAATTCCCCCCGGACGGCTATTTAGAGACGCAAAAGCCGGACATGTCCGGGAAAATACAGACGGATGGTAACCCTAGCTAATCTGGCGGCTACCAGGATATCCCAGGACTTGCCTTTAGAAAGGGAACAAATCATCAGCTGTAGAAATGGAACTCCTGATTTCTGGATTTAAAGGCACAACCCATTACCACTCGAGCTAAAGGAAAAGCACCTTAAGGTTTCAGAGCAGCAGCCATGTTTAGTCTGTATCCGCAAAAAGAACAGGAGTACTTGTGGCACCTTAGAGACTAACGAATTTATTAGAGCATAAGCTTTCGTGGGCTACAGCCCACTCTCTTGCTGTGTGTTTGTGCAGCGCCCAGAACAATGGGGACCTAATCTCAGCTGGGGCAGGGACTGTCTCTCCCTCTGGGTCTGTGCAGCACGCAATGGGGCTCAGCTGCTGTCTCTAGATGTTACCATATTGTGCCTAATAAATAATTATTTACCCACATCTCTTCTCCTTTCTTCCACTTGTCCGTGACCCGGCAGCATTGAGTCATTCACCCCTCTACCTACCAGAAAGGAAAAGAAACTGTCATTTAAGGTCAGATCATACAGTCCCCTCATGCAGAGCCCAGTGCTGTGTATGAAGCCCAGGGCTTTTGAATGGATCCATCACTGCTTCCCCTCCCTCCACGTATCCCAAAGTGACTGGCAGTCCCCAGATCTTGCTATCCCCATCTCACACAGCCCACCCTTGGCCTGGCTGAGGGGCTCCTAGCGGATTAGGGAGCATGGCAATGTATTTGACAAATTGTGTGCCATGTCCCCCTCTAGGGGCTGGTAAGCGGATAATCTCTGCCAACATTTTTGTTAGCATTATAACAACTCTGGCTCTTCCTGTTCTCCACAGAAATCTCCAATCCCTCTGTCTTTATCCCTCATAAAAAAGGGGAGGCAACCCACCCTCAGTATTTTTGTCCCTCTGCCAATCACACTGCAGGCTCCCTTTTAATTAAGACCAAAGTATTTAGTATTTACTGGTATCGCTTGTCACTTCGGCGCTCTCTTCTGCCATTTTCTGGACAATCAGCAGCGAGACTGCTGTGTTTCCACCTACCAGGAAGGAACAGAGACGGTCACTCGGGGTGGGTTATTTTAATTATGCACTTCTCCTTTAAAGCCGTCAGAACGTACCATGGGTCAAATGCCACAGACAATGCCCTGTCTAACCTCTCACTGTGCCCATCTAGGTGTTTTCAGTGCATCCGTCACCATGTGAGACCCACAATCATGGCTTCCCCCGGCCTTAATATCCTCAGATACCCAACAGTCCCCACCCCTCCTTCATAGATTGATAGATTTTAAGGCCTGAAATAGGGCTGTCGATTATTTGCACTTAACTCATGCAATTAACTCAATTAATCACCATTAAAAAAATTAATTATGATTAATTGCACTGTTAATAGAACAGCAATTGAAATTTATTAATTTTATATGTTTTTGTACATTTGAAATTATATTGATTTTTATTACAATGCAAAATAAAAGTGTACAGTGCTCACTTCATATTTTTTATTACAAATAATTGCACTGTAAAAATGATAAACAAAAGAAATGGTATTTTTCAATTCACCTCATGCAAGTACAGTAGTGCAATCTCTTTATTGTGAAAGTGTAACTTACAAATGTAGATTTTTTTGTTACACAACCACACTCAAAAATAAAACAATGTAAAACTTTAGCGCTTACAAGTCCACCCAGTCCTACTTTTTATTCAGCCAATCACTAAGACAAACAAGTTTGTTTACATTTAAGGGAGATAATCATAGAAGATTAGGGTAGGAAGAGACCTCAGGAGATCATCTAGTCCAATCCTCTGCTCAAAGCAGGACCAACCCCAACTAAATCATCCCAGCCAGGGCTTTGTCAAGCTGGGCCTTAAAAACCTCTAAGGATGGAGATTCCTCCATCTCCCTCGGTAACCCATTCCAGTGCTTCACCAGTGTTTCCTAATATCCAACCTAGACCTCCCCCACTGTAACTTGAGACCATTGCTCCTTGTTCTGTCATCTGCCACCACTGAGAACAGCCAAGCTCCATCCTCTTTGGAACCCCCCCTCAGGTAGTTGAAGGCTGCTATCAAATCCTTCCTCACTCTTCTGGAGACTAAACAAGCCCAGTTTCCACAGCCTTTCCTCGTAAATCATATGCCCCAGACCCCTAATCATTTTCATTGCCCTCCACTGGATTCTCCAATTTGTCCACATCCCTTCTCTAGTGGGGGGCCCAAAACTGGATGCAATACTCCAAATGTGGCCTCACCAGTGCCGAATAGAGGGGAATAATCACTTCCTTCAATCTGCTGGCAATGCTCCTACTAATGCAGCCCAATATGCAGTTAGTTTTCTTGGCAACAAGGGCACCCTGCTGACTCTCATCCAGCTTCTCATCCCCTGTAATCCCCAGGTCCTTTTCTGCTACCTGCTTCTTATTTACAATGTCACCTGAAAGTGAGGACAGACTTCCGCATGGCACTTTTGTAGCCGGCCTTGCAAGGTATTTATGTGCCAGATATGCTAAACATTTGTATGTCCCTTCACGCTTCGGCCACCATTCCAGAGGACATGCTTCCATGCTGATGATGCTCGTTAAAAAAATAATGTGTTAATTCAATTTGTGACTCAACTCCTTGAGGGAGAATTGTATGTCTTCCGTTCTGTTTTACCTGCATTCTGCCATATATTTCATGTTATAGCAGTCTCGGATGACGACCCAGCACATTAGTTTTAAGAACACTTTCACAGCAGATTTGACAAAATGCAAAAAACGTACCAATGTGAGATTTCTAAAGAGAGCTACAGCACTCAACCCAAGGTTTAAGAATCTGAAGTGCCATCCAAAATCTGAGAGGGATGGGGTGTGGAGCATGCTTTCAGAAGTCTTAAAAGAGCAACACTCAGATGCGGAAACTACAGAACCCGAACTATCAAAAAAGAAAATCAAACGTCTGCGGGCGGCATCTGACTCAGATGATGAACATGCATCTGTCTGCTCTGCTTTGGATCGTTATCAAGCAGAATCCGTCATCAGGGTGGTTGAAGCAGGAAGGGACACAGGAATCTTTAGCGCATGTGGCACGTAAATGTCTTGCAACACCAGCTACAACCGTGCCATGCAAATGCCTGTTCTCACTTTCAGGTGACATTGTAAACAAGAAGCAGGCAGCATGTCTTCAAATCACCAGGGCCTGACGAAATGCATCCTAGAATACTCCAGGAGCTGACTGAGGAGATATCTGAGCCATTAGCTATTATCTTTGAAAAGTCATGGCAGACGGGAGAGATTCCAGAAGACTGGAAAAGGGCAAATCTAGTGCCCATCTATGAAAAGGGAAATAAGGACAACCCAGGGAATTACAGACCAGTCATCTTAACTTCTGTTCCTGGAAAGATAATGGAGCAAATAATTAAGCAATCAATCAATTTGCAAACATCTAGGAGATAATAAGGTGATAAATAATAGTCATGTCAAACCAACCTGATAGATTTCTTTGACAAGCCTTGTGGAAGGGGGGGGAGGGGAGGTAGATGTGGTATATATCTTTACTTTAGTAAGGATTTTGATACTGTTTCACATAACCGTCTCATAAACAACCTAGGGAAATACAACCTAGATGGAGCTACTATAAGGTGGGTGCAGAACTGGTTGGAAAATCGTTCCCAGAGAGGAGTTATCAGTGGTTCACAGTCAGTCATGCTGGAAGGACATAATGAGCGAGGTCCCGCAGGGATTGGTTCTGGATCAGGTTCTGTTCAATATCTTCATCAATTATTTAGATCGGGGCGGGCAAACTTTTTGGCCTGAGGGTCACATCAGGTTTCCAAAATTGCATGGCGGGCCGGTTAGGGGAGGCGGTGCCTGCACAAACAGCCAGGCGTGGCCCGGCCCACTGCCCCCTATCCAACCCTCCCCCACCCCCACCCCCGCCTTGCTTCTCGTCCCCTGACGGTCCCCTGGGACTCCTGCCCCATCCAACCCCCCTTTCCCGACCACGCCTCCCCCCCCCCCGCCCCCATCCACCCCTCCATGTCCTCTGACTGCCCCCAGGTCCCCTGCCCCCCACCGCTCCATCCAACCCCTCCTCTCCTTCCTGACTGCCCACTGGGGACCCCTGCCCCCATTGAACACCCCCCCCCCATGCTCCCTGCCCCCTTTCCGCGCTGCCTGGGGGACCGGTGGCTGGCGGTGCTACAGCTGCGCCGCCCAGAGCACCAGGACAGGCAGCCGTGCCACCCGGCTGGAGTCAGCCACACCACCATGCAGCACAGAGACTGGGTCAGGCCCCAGCTCTGCAGCTGCGCTTGCCCCAGGAGCTCACAGCCCCACTGCCCAGAGCATTGCACCGGTGGCGCAGTGAGCGGAGGCTGCGGGGGAGGGGGAACAGCAGGGCCAAGCCTCCCAGGCTAGGAGCTCAGGGGCCAGGCAGGTGGTAGTTTGCCCACCTCTGCACTAGAGGGGGATAAAGGCCCTCACTTAATACACTCCCCTTTCCAAGGAACTTGTAAGAGGCAGCTGTACCTGTAGGGTCAATTTTTCTGCCTTTTCCATCCTTTGGAGAGATGGTCACGGGAGTGATTCCATTTTGTTGTACATGGGTTTCCTGGGAAGCCAGGAGTGGATCTGGCTCACTCTTCTCAGCAGGACACGACCCGTTCTCCATCTTTTCTGTCTCCAAAAGCTGTGACACGCGGACCTAAACCACCATCTGGAGCCAGCAGTAACTAACACCCTGTTCACAGTGGGTCTGGCGGTGCTGGCAGAGCCCTTCTTAAGGACAGTTTCGAAGCAACTCACTGGATTACAGCTCAGGCGCGGTTTGGCTACGGGATGCAATCGGAAAAAACCCTTCCCAATACAGTCGGATTGTGACTTTTGCTCAAACATGGAACCTGAGCTGTGTTTGTTTTTCAAACGCTCCATTCAATCCTTGATGCTATTTTATCTGCAGCATCAGTGAGGCCTCAGCAGGCGCTGACCAAATCAGTTCCAGTTCGCTGAGACGTCCTTGCTTTCTGTCCTCTCTCTGAAGTCCCTGGTTGGTCTGTGTTCAAGGATTTACCTGGGGAGAGAGAGTTTTCAGGGTTAAACACAAACCAGCCAGAGTATGTTGTTCTATCTGCCAATCCAGAGCCCTGCACAGCAGGGTCATTCGCAGTGGGTAGGGATGTGACTACCTTGGTTTTTCTATAGCAACTTTAATCGGAAGGATCCCAAAGCGCTTGACAAGCTCCAATACACAAATTCACATGAGGAGTGGAGTTCCATTCTCTCTACAGAGAAGTGTCAGTTCCCCGGCGGCTGCAAAGTAGCCATAGCTCCACTGAAGTGTTACACAGCTGAATTGACAGGAATGATCACTTCCCCGTTATACAAACAGTTGGCAAGAAGTAGTCGTATTACAATTTGAGAGCCTGGAATTTCTCATTGAATGGGTCCTTCCTGCTTTCTGCCTTGATGAAGACCCCATGATCTGAAGTGGGCATCCCATTTCCAACCAGGGCTGGCTTTAGGAAGTGCAGGGCCCAACGGGGCCCCAGCAGGGATGACTTAAAAAAAAAAAACCCACTTAAAAAACCCCTCTTATTTCTTTCATGTATTATTTACTTTCCATGACTATATAAACAACAACATTACATACATTGCATCATATATTATAAATATCAAGTTCATTAAGAGGAACTGTATTGTACACCTCACCTATATGTTTTTAAAACTTTATCTTCCTTGCTTTTTGTTTGACAAAATCTTTCAGTATATTGCCTAACTCTAAGTTCTTCATTACTTGACATTCAACTGAAGTGATTGCCAAATTGTTTAAGGGGTCTTCCTGCATTGTTGATCCCAGATATGTTTTAATTAGGGAGGGAACTGCCATCACATGTGGCTTCCTTCCTCCCCTGCTGCCCCTCATCATAGCCTCACTGGGGGTGGGAGATGGGGCTGCCCCTTGCCCAGTGTTTGCAGGAGTGGTGGCTGGGGGGGGAAAATCACAGGGTCAAACACTCACTGACCGAAGCCCCAGCACCTGCTCAGGTGAGTGAGGTCCACTGCAGATGATCCTGTCTCCCAGCAGACCGGAACCCCCCTCGGTGTCTCCTCCAGGTGGGTGCTGGGGGAGGGGAGGGGAGGGCTGGGCTGCGAAGCACACGTGTGCCTCTCTCCTCCCCCTCCCCTCCTGACATGCAACAGCAGCTGCCTCAGCCCTCTGCCGGCTGGGCCAGCGGCTCTCGTTGCCATAGCAGTAGCTGTTCCGGGAGAGACTCACAGTTTTCCTTCCCAGTTTTCCTTCCGGCAGTGTCCCGATCGGGGGGGCCCCCCTCTTAGATGCGGGGCCCAATTCAGGGGAATCAGTGGAATCGGCCTAAAGCCGGCCCTGTCTCCAACAGACAGGACACCCCTGTACTGGACAGTTATGGAATAATCTGCCCTGAGGGACAGATTCTTCCCTCACCCCCATTGGTTAGAAGCTGGGCCTTGTACCTTGCCACAGGAAGGCTTAGAGCCCTTCCCACTCCAGGGTAATGTGTAATATTGACGGCTGTAACTCTGTGGTCCCATTATCTCTATAAATGCCAAGAGCTGGGCAGGACTAAGAAAAGAAGTTGACCAAGGAGATCTCGTGGCAGTGAGTTCCACAGGCCAGCTCTGCCTTGTGTGGAAACATTCCCTTTCATCAGATTGGAACTTGATGCCTTTTCAAAGCGGAGAGAAGTGGTTTCAGATCCTGCCTGGGGAGAGAGCTCTCCTGCTGGCATAATTAAACCACCCCCACTGAGTGTGGTAGCTATGTTGGTAGAGCATCTCCAGCTGCCATAACCATCGGTGTGGACAGTGCTTTGTCAGTGAAACGTATGTTGGTCAGGGGTGTGTATTTTTCACACCCCTGATTGACTGACAGTGCTGACAAAAGTGCTAGTGCACACAAAGCCTAGCACTGGGGCGGGCAAACTTTCTGGCCTGAGGGCCACATTGGGTTTCTGAAATTGTATGGAGGGCTGGTTAGGGGAGGCTGTGCCTCCCCAAACAGACACGCGTTGCCCAGCCCCCACCCCCATCTGACACCCCCTGCTTCTCACCCTCACAGCCCCCCTGGGCTTTCTTCCCCATCCAACCACCCATGTTCCCTGATGGGCCCCCCCGGGACCCCTGCCCCATCTATCCCTCCCCATCCGCTGACCACCCCCAGACCATCTGCTGCCCCATCCAACCCCCCCTCTCCTTCCTGATGGCCCCCCTGGGACCCCTGCCCCCATTCAACCCCCCTGTTCCCTGCCCTCTGACTGCCCCAACCCCTATCCACGCTCCCATCCCCTGACCACCACCCCAAATTCCCCTGCCCTCTAGCCAACTGCCCCCCCCTCCCCCCAACTCCCTGCCCCCTTACTGCACTGCCTGGAGCACTGGTGGCGCTACAGTAGTGCCGCCCAGCTGAAGCCAGCCACGCCACCGCGCAGCACAGAGACCGGGTCAGGCCGCGGCTCTGCAGCTGCACTGCCCCAGGAGCTCGTAGCCCCACCGCCCAGAGCATTGCGCCCAGGGTGGGGCGTGCTGAGGCTGCGGGGGAGGGGCCAGGGGTAGTCTCCCGGGCCAGGAGGGGCCCATGGGCTGCAGTTTGCTCACCTCTGGCCTAGCAGAACAAGGCAGCATTATCCCTAGATTAATGATTTGTCTGTTGTGTCGCTGCAGAGCTCCTGCCCCAAACCCTCCCCAACCCCCTTATGCCTTATTTCCCACTGCACGCTTAAAGAAGTGGCCAACCCTCCTCACAGCACCCATCTGCCCCACTGAGCACTGGACTTGGGATCCAGGCTACACGGTGGGGCTCGTAGGTCATGGTGAATATCATTTGCAAACCACATGTCCTGACTCTACCATGCTCAGCCTCACAGGAACTGCTGGGACAGCAATTTAATGAGTAACCACAATCCTCCAACCAATGCAACTGACACCCACTCCCCAGAGTCTGTATCTGCTCTGGCAGGGAGAGAAGCAGCAGCTGCTGCCCAGGGGGTTTGCCGGAGGGACTCACCTGCCGGGACAGACAGCGCCAGACCAACAGAGCAGGAGCCCAGGGAGTGAATCCGGCAGCTCAGGTGTGACAACAGGCGAGACCCCACTCGGTAGCCAGGGCGTCCCAGACCCATTTGGTGTGTGTCCCCCCCCCCGACAGAGTCAGAAGTCGACGGGCACTGAACCGGCGGCACCGGGCCCAGACTCGGTCTTGGGAGTTGAACCAGTGGCACCTCCCGATGCCCTGGTAGCTGGACAGGCCCCCTCACTGGCACCGGAGGAGACCATAGCGGCACCTCCGTCCGTTGTACGAGAGATCTTTAAAGCTCACCAGGAGCTCCTCAAAAGGGTAGCTTCGAATCTCCAACTCCAGGCTGAGGAGATGGAGGAACCATGGGACACCCTTTTCAATGTTCTGTCCTCCTTGGCACCAGGCTGTGTGGCCTTACCCCTTAACCAAGGTGTGGCCAACATATCAACTGCCCTGTGGCAGACCCCAGCTTCCTTGGTGCCCATCTCCAAGAAAGCAGAAAAAAAAGTACTTTGTTCCGGCTAAGGGACATGAGTACCTGTACTCCCACCTGGCACCTAACTCCCTGGTGGTGGACTTGGTCAACCATCGGGAACACCATGGCCAGCCTGCACCCACCCCCAAGGACAAAGACGCCAAGAGACTTTATTCTTTTGGCAGGAAAGTTTATTCTTCTGCGAGCTTTCAACTTTGGGTGGTGCTAAAATTTGCCATATTATGATGGTCTCTTCATATAGTGGTAGAAAGACATACAATATTTGTGGTGTGTTAGGGCACTGGCTCTCAACCGGGAGTGCACGTGCCACTGGGGGGTACGAAGAGGTCTTCCAGGGGGTACATTAAATCATCTAGATATTTGCCTAGTTCTAAAACAGGCTACAGAATTTCTATTCCAGTTGATTTACTTTAGAATTATATGGTAAAATGAGAAAGTCAGCAATTTTTCAATAGTGTGCTGTGACACTTTTGTCTTTTTATGTCTGATTTTGTAAGCAAGTAGTCTTTAATGAAGCAAAACTTGTGGGTATGCAAGACAAATCAGACCCCTGAAAGGGATACAGGAGTCTGGAAAGGTTGAATGGCACTGTGCTGGGTGATAGAGTTTATTTCTTTACTGAGTGTGGCATGTCGGGTTGTGGCAAGGTAGAGTTCAGTTAAATCATATTGCACGTATATTTTGATGCGTAGTTGAGGGACACTTGTTTTATTTCTGACACAATTATAAAAAGTATAATGATTAAAGTTAAAAATGAACTTTAGTTTCTTCTTTGGGTATGTGTCTGTATGAATCCCACTGTAGGTGCATGTGTGCCTTGTGAATGAGGCCAGGTTTTTTTTGAACAGCATTGTCTGGGGGTGCACATGCACCCTGTATCTCCTTAGGCTCCCGCATGAGGGCATAATGGGTAGAGTGGGTGAAATTTATTTCTCCCCTTGCAGTTCCCTCTTATCAATCATGATAGTGAGACAAAACCTGGCAAATGTCTGACCCACTGCTTTCTCTGATCTTCAAAGGCCTATGCTCAGAGCCAGACGAGTACCCAGAAGTCACCTCCTACAAGACAGGCCCAACAAAGAAAATAACAGAACACCACT